TAATTTTAATCTGTTTGAAGTTGTACAACAATCGGAAGACAAGAAAGATTGTCTCAGAATAGATACTTTGGAGGAATTACCCATCTCAACTGAAAACAAGACTACAAGCCTGTTGCACAACCCCAAAGACATATCAATCTGACTATGAAGGAATTTGTTCAAAGAAAGGTACTGAAACCTCCTGAAGCAGGTATGATTTATCCAATCTCTGACAGTTGTAAGGTTATTCGCAATGAGAAGAATAAATTCATTCCTACAAGGACAGTCAAGGGATGGAGAATGCGTATATATCACCTTGATCACTCACCTGCATGAGCCCTAAAGCAAATAGGCGTCGAGCTGAAGACGTTAAACAAGCGCTCATGGGAGGCAACCCAATATTTTGAATTTTTGCAGTTTAAGTTTTTTTGTGCATTTTTCTTCCTTAGGTTCTTTCTTTACAAGATTGCTCCAGGTACACAGTGCACTTCTCCTCAAGACTTTGAAGCCTTACTTCAATGGCCTGGGGACAATCCAACTTTTCCGGAGGGGGTGAGAAAATCTACAGCTGAGGCTGAGGCACAAGATAAGGAGTAGATGACAAGTGAAGAAAATGAGGGAGGAAACTTACTTTGTTTTTAATGTTTTTAATTCCTTTGTTTTTAATTTAATGTTTTTAATTGATTTATTTTAAATTTTGAATTCTCTTGCTATCCCATAATTTATTTTAGAGTCATATATGAGATTATTGCTTATTGTCTAATTCAAATCTGGAACGTGAAAAATCATTTTGATTGTTTCCAATAACAAGTGATTTTGGGATGATGAGTATGATAGTGAAAAGGAATTAATGAGGAGAATTAGGAATTAACTGAATTGGAGAAGCTAGTCAAAACCCAGGTGAGTAGAGTACCAAAAACAGATAAATTGAGTGTCAACACTTTGTGATTGATAACTGATATTGGTTGATTCTTTGATGTGATTACATGTTGGCAAGACTTGAAAATGATAAAGGCATTTTTTTCTTTGTAGTAGATATAACCCAGAGCCAAATACCCAACCCTGCATTAATTATAGGACATCCATTTGAACCCCTTCTGAGCCAAAAATAATATTGTTTCTTAAACAAAACCCTTAAGCCTAAACATTATTTATCTACCTTCCTATATTTGAGAAAGAAAATGAGTATGAATGTCACTATTTTTCTTATTGTTGGGTATTGTCATTGATGTCCTACAGGTATTATTGGGGTGTTATTGTTAAAAAAAGAAAAAGGAAAAGCAAAGCTTAAAAATTCGCAAAGCCAAAAAGGAAACATGCAAAAGCATAAGAAAAGAAAAAAAAAGTTCAATAATAACTTGTGAGATTATATAACTCATTGTCATTGTGTTAGGGACAAAAGCAAGAAGTTTGAAACCTGACTTGAGGAATTGTTAATTAAGAATCATTCATATGAGTTGAATTTCTCAAATATTTTTGTATATCCCAAAAAAACCAATAATTTTTTCTTAGCCCAGCCCCATTACAAGCCTCAAAAGACCTTTTGATTTAAGTCTTGTTTAACAATTGTTGATTGCTTGAAGATGATTATCAATATTGGATTGTCTAAATGAAGTGATTGAATGAGATAAACACTTACCTGTGAGAATTAGAGATGATTATATATAACCCTATTTTAGAGATCATGCTTCTCTGAGGATAGTTGATGACTAATTATTCTTTGTTGGTTTCTATAACTTGAATGCTTATGTGTTCTATTTTCATTTGGAGTTGTGAGCATCACCCGTGAAAATTTTTATGTTGTGGTTCTAGAAGAGAAAGAGATAATAGGTGATGATTTTGTTGTGGAAAAACTACTTTGCTTGGGACAAGCAAGATTCTAGGTTGGGGGGAGTTGTTAAGTGGTAAAAAGTTGATATAATTATGCCTTGAATTGTTATGAAACCACTTAATTTATGTTAATTCTAATATATTTTTCTCCCAATATAGGATGAATTCGAGAATACCTTGATACAAGAGTAAGGAGCATAATTGTCAGTATAAGTGGAGTAAAATTGAAAGAAAGAAGAGCGCTTAAGCGAATGAATGATGCGAGGCCCGACCCAAATTCTCTTATAAAAAGATAAGTTGTGTTTTGAGAAAAGCAAGCAGTCTTAGAGAGGAGGAGACACGACTACTGTTAGGGTTTTGTCTAATCTTCATCAATTCTTCACTTCTTCATCAATTGAAGCATTGTAATGGCCAACATGAGTGACTAACTTCATTCTCTTAGGATTCGGTGCACTTCCTTTGAACTCTTTTGTATCATGGTGATATTTTGATATATTAATCTATGCTTTAATGTTGTTATTCTTATCCTTTATGCTTTGGGATGATTTATTCTTGATGTTTGGGGTATGATTGTAAAATATATCTTGAACCACAGTAAGAATATTTGTTACGTTAATTGTCAGAAATGGAATGAATGTATCAATTGCTTAACACCCTAACCCTAATGCTGGAAAAATCTCTTAATTGTGTGAGGAATCAACATTTATTAGGTTTTCTTATGAATTTCATGTGTGAGGAATCAACATGGATGGTTTGAGTAGTTGGCATCAACATTGTTAGGTTAATTGACGTTCTTAATTGACATAGTCATTACAAAAGAGGGATAAGGAAAGAAGTCAATCCTAAGTACCTTTAATTGATATTTTCTCAACAATTTACAGTTCTTTGTCATTTAATTTCAATTCAACTCTTATTACAAAAATCAATCTGTTTTAATCTACTTAGTAAGCATAATTGAGATTTTTCATTGAAACTGTTCCTCGTGGGATCGACTTTTATTTAATCGAAATACTATACTGCGATTGATAATTTTGATACGCTTGCCAATAATTCAACAATTATTGTTTTTAATTTGAAATTTTGTTGGTTTCATGCATTTTGGCAAAATCTTTAACTTTGATCCTAATTTTTTTTCTCACAAATATTGGAATTCCTTTGAAAACTTTCTCTTAAATGCCATTATTAGGTAGGAATGGTGCACTCAAATAAGCTCAAACAAACCAAAAGATTTGATAATACTAGTTAATAGATCAAAAGAATAAAAAAAATAGTATTTTAAAATTAACTTAATACTATTAATCTGTCTACACAATTTCTTTTTTCTTTTTAAAATTTTTATGCATCGAATACTAAAATATGGATTAAATTAAAATAATTAACATATTAATATTTATATAACTACAATTTTTTTTAATAATTATGAAAGAAAATAATCAAAATAACTTGTATGTTGGATAAGATGTTTTTGTCATAGTTTCTTCTCATTAACTAGATTGACACTTTTTAAAAGGTTTTCAAATTTTACTTTTTTTAATATACATAATTTTCTCTTTCTATTTAATTTTTTTCTCATATTTTTAAATTAGAGATATAACCTTAAATTTTATAAAAACTAATAATCATGATAAGAAAATTCATTGTAGTTTTAAAAAGTAAAAAAATAAATTTTAATTCTTATGTTATATATTAAAATATATATTATTAAAAAATAAGATTTTCATTTAAAGGTACTAATTTCCAATGTTATTTCATTCATACAAAATTAATTAATAATGATATAAATAATTTATAAATTATATAAATTTTAATTTAATTTATATATATATATATATATATATATATATATTATTTTTAAATAAATATTTTTATGTTTTTTTTATGAAATGAATAATTATTTTGTTTTATTTATTTTTTCTTTATTATTGAATTAGATTAAAACATGTATCATTTGACATGGAAGTTTTTATTTTTCGATTTATTTTTATATATTCATATTAAATTTTAATATTAATGAGAGAATGAACTATATATTTGTTTCTCTTGGCAATGGCATTGGTTTGATAAGTGAGTAACAAAATGCAAAAGTAATCTTCTTTATTGTTTATGTTGTATATATTCACATACAAATTATGAATTTTATTTCTTTCAAGAAATGAAATCAGTTTGGTAAATAAGAAAACACAGTTATTCATTAACAAATATTAATGATGTGAAAAAAAAAGGGAGAATATCCTTTTTTGAAAAAAAAATTAAATTAAATTAAAGGAAAAAAAAAAGCTGTAATTTTTGGAGAACTAATTTTTACTTATATTTTTCTTAAAGGATTACAATATAAAATCTGTAATTTCCTATCCCTAAATAATTTGTATGAAAAAAAGTTGAAATTCATTTGAAAAAATTATTATTAAGAATGGTGCTATCAAGTAAGCTCAAAAAGAGAATATGATTTCATAACCTAGTAGTGAAAACATTAAAAATAGTAATGTAAATATATAATATTTATTTCAAAATTAACTTAACACTATTACTGTCTCCACAATTTTTTTAATATTTTATGTATTAAATAATATACTAATTTAAAATAATTAACATATTAATACTAAAATATCTACTATTTTTTTTTTCATAATTATGAAAACAAAGTCAAAGCCATCTTTTATTGTGGGTGGGAAGTTTGTCCCGTAATTTATTTCACTATAAAATATAAATATTAAAGTAAATTACTTTTTGAACATTTTTTAAATTGACATATTCATATAGTGCACAAATTTGTCTTTTATTTTAAAAACATCATATTCCTTTTCAATTAGACACTTATTATTCAATTTTAAAACAATACACTACTAATCTTGATTGATAAAAAGTCAGTGGCACGTAGTTTAAAAAATTAAAAGCAGGGGATATTTATCAATATTAAAATATAGATAATAAATTAAGATGAACAAAAAATAATAATAATAAAATTCACACAGTACTCTCTAAACCTGATTAGGGAAGTAAAATATCATTTCCCGCCAATTGAGATCACACGTGTCTGAAAATCCTTATTTTCCCTCCACAATCATGTAAACATCATGAAATGAAATCAAAGTTAGGCTCCTGATATCAAAACCCTCTATAAATTCAGAAGGAACTTCTGCATTTTTATTCATAATCCAAACACGCGTTTTCAAGCTCAAACTTCTCTCTACATGGCTGCTTCTTCTTCCTCCCTCACAGTGGACATCAAAGACTTCTCTCACTCATCTGGTGAGATCCATGTAATTGTGGGCCCCATGTTTGCTGGCAAGACCACTGCCCTTCTTCGTCGTATCAAATCGGAGCGCAACGCTGGCAGGTAATTTTTCAATTCTCACTTTTTTTTTCTTTCTTAAATTAAGTTTGATTCTGTAGTTTTTTTTTTATGATTGTTATTGATAATTATGGTTGTGAAGGAATGTGGTGATGTTGAAGTCGAGCAAGGATACAAGATATGCAACTGACTCGGTTGTTACACACGATGGGATTAAATTTCCTTGTTGGGCGATACCAGATCTGTTGTCTTTCAGAGAAAAGTTTGGCAAGGATGCTTATGAGAAGGTATTATCTTTGATTTTTTTTGTTTTTGTTGTGTGTACTATTCTGGAAAATATTTCCTTTTGTTCTCCCAAAATTATTTGGATTGAAACGGGTTTAGAAGACTAGGTTAATTTCACTAATTTCAAGTGGTTTTTGAATTTTAATAATTTAAAATTGAGTTATTAAAAGGAACTGAATTTTTTTTCTGTCATATATTTTTTTTACTTATTATTAAGAATGCATTTTGTTCTAAATTACATTCCAAGGATAGGATTTGAAATATGTCAGCAAAATAATAATTTTGTGAATTTATAATCCTATCAAATATTCATTTCTTTTTTAAAAACAAAACACGTGTTATATAATCTGTTGATAACATATTATATAATATAATAATATTAGAATTTTAAAATAATATTATAATTATTATTATATAATTAGTGAAAACAGATATTAAAGTATTTTATTCATATTTTTTATAATTAATATTATTTTGTTTCCTCTTTTTACTTTTTACTGAATCATATTTTTCTTTTCATAATTTTATTATTTTTTTAAATATATGAAATAACTAGTAGTCGGTTACTTTTTTTTTCTTTTTAAAGATTGTTATTTGATCACTTATCAGAGTATTGGGAAGAAAATGATTTGATATTTGTCTTTTAACCGTTTTGTGGTTTTTTAGGCATTTGATTTTGAAAAAAGTGTTATCATTTAATGTATTTTAGATGAGAAATTAATTATTAAGCAACATGCAATGCAATTATTAGAAAAGTGAAGAAACAATAAGAGAATAAAAAACAACCATTTACTTATTCGTTTGTGTATGTGTTTCTTTTACTTAGCAACACAACAACATTCTTCTATTTAAGGGTAAGAATATCAAAATTCAATAGTTATGGTTAAGGTTTTAATATTTGGTTGTGGCTGTAATTGTAATCTTGTATCAAATCTTTGTATTGTGTCAAATTGCATATAAATATGCAGTTGAAGTGATAATAGCGAATCCAACGTATCGATGGCAGCAATTGTGGATAGGGACCACTTACATCATGGTTTGGTTGTAATTATTAAAATTATGGATACTGTGAACTGCAGTGTCTTAAGGTGCAGTCCTAGTAGGAAAGGATCACTGTTATATATTTGGTACTTTGACTTGGCATGTTTATTTTATGTTTGGTGAACGCAGTTGGATGCGATTGGCATAGACGAGGCTCAATTTTTCGAGGACATATATGAGTTTTGCTGTAAGGCTGCTGATGAAGATGGTAAAACCATAATTGTTGCAGGCCTGGATGGTGATTACTTAAGGTAATGTTCGAACATATACATATAAAATCCATTTGATTGTAGGTTTTTGTGATTTGTTTTTCCTCAAATTCTTGTTTTTCAACCTACCCTTTTTCAGGAGAAGCTTTGGCTCGGTGCTTCACATAATTCCTCTTGCTGATTCTGTGACCAAGTTAACAGCTCGTTGCGAACTATGCGGAAAACGTGCGTTTTTCACCTTGAGGAAGACAGAGCACAAAGAGACTGAACTGATTGGTGGGGCTGATGTCTATATGCCCGTTTGTCGCCTAGACTACATGAACAGCCAGGTTGCTGAGAAAAGTGTTCTCCAATCTCTGGCTGTTAAAGCTGATTCCCTTGAGCCAGCTACAGATGTTTAAGGGTCATTGGAAATTGGCTTGCATGTGTGTGGACTACCATGTTTCATTGATTGGTCAGAGCCAAGTTGGTCTGAATCTCGCTTAATCTATTTGCTTTATCGCTCTTCTGTTTATATTTCAAAAATATAATATGTATAGGTACTTGAATTTCTTAATGATTCTTTATGTTATATGCGTTTATCCTTTTTTCTTCGTGTGCCATCTACTTGAAGTCAGGTGCCAAACAGGATTAGGTGACTTATTACAATGCATCTTCAAGATTTTTTTCTCTTTGCATATTTGAATCTACATCATGCCAAATGCATTTTGATGTAAAATGTGAGTCGAAAACGTGGATCCAAACACTCATTCTATTAGACAAAGAGGAAATCTAGTATTTTAATCCATGTCTTCTTGTTTAAAATCTTGAGCTAGGCCAACTTTTCTTAGAAAAGGACTCAAGGTTAACAAGTTATTAGGCTGATAAAGTTGTCAAATGAGTACTATTTGATTTACATTGTATTTCAACATACTTAAAGCGAATTATTAGATGCGTGTTTCATTTAATGACGAATTAAATCAAAGATTTATGATTCGTGTTCAAATTGAAGTTAATAGTTTAGTTTTTACTTTCGAAATATGGATTTGGTGTTCTGAACTGAACCCAATCCAAACATAATAACTTCATTTCATGTTGGTAATTTTCTGTCATTCAGCTTTTTCTTTTGCCACGTTTAATGCTTGATCATTAATTGTTTTTCTATTTCTTTCTTCCTTTACCCTTCAATATATATATATATAAAATAAAATAAAATGTGTTTTTCTTACTCTCTTCTCTCCTTTTTTTTTTTTTCTTCTTCTTCTTTCTATGTTTTCTTTATTATTACGGAGAAATGCTTGGCTTAGCAACTTGTTTGGCTTACTAATAAATTTGAAACTTGCAATCACGTGATAAGAAATATTTTATCTTTAAATGTATAATTCATCAAACAACTTTTATAGAAACGTCTCGCAAATGAAATACTAACACTTTTTAAATGTCACTCTTGCCCTTTTATTTTAATCTAATATTTTTATGAATTTTTGGTATTTTGCATATTTTGTTTAATTAGCTTTATTCCTACGGTATTACTTGATAATACATCTTTTTATGAAAAGTTATAAGAAAAGCTTTATGGCATCTAATTTACATGTGTTTGGTTATCTATGTTATGTCAATATGGTTCATAGAAAGAAATGGTAAGATCTTAAAAATCTTAACATTTTTCTTGGTTTTAAGCCTGAAATAAAAGGGCATTTATTTCTCAATCTTAAGATTGACATTTATTGTCATTCAAATTTTCATGAAAATTATTTTCACTATCCTTTGAATTATTAATGACTATTGCTTTATCTATACCAAACAATTATATTTAAAAGGGTATTTGTTTCTCAATCTTAAAGAACCTTAAGATTGACATTTATTATCATATAAATTTTCTTGAAAATTATTTTCACTATCTTTTAAATTATTAATTATTGTAATAATATTCCTTTATCTATACCAAACAATTATACTCAAAATTGTAATTGTGTTGATCTATAACTCTAAGATAATAATTTCCAAATCAATGAACATAAATAAACATTAATAATTATATTGAACCTGAAGTGAATCTTTGACAATGTATTCATGTTAAGGACTTTTAAACCACAATTGGTTCTTGTACCTCTATTGTCATTATAGGTAATTATTTTCTAATAGAATCTTTTGTATCATATAACTCACTATCTTTTACTTTTAGAAACATTGTATTTTCTATATCATCTAATATTGAGTCAAACTCTTATGAAGTAACTTCAAAAGATATCTACTAGATATTGTTTTGAATAAGGAAATTGTTGTTCTTAAAGTCAATTAAATCTGAGTTATTATTGTTGGGTGTAAAAGGTGAAACATAATTCTAATGACACTTTTAAATGTTATAAAGCAAGTCTTGAGGCTAAAGGCTACACCCAACTTGAAGATATGAATTTTACCTTGTGTGTTCTTCTTGCTCTTGAACCTCAAACAACTTCATTCTAATAATGTCTTCATTTATGAGGATTTTGAAAGCATTGAGGGGGAGATTAATGGAAATGTAAAACATATCCCTACATTCTCAAAAGATGATTTTGATGATGATTCAAGTCAACAACATTTAATACTCAAGCAAGCCCAAGATATGATTTTGATAAAGATTACATTCAAACATCAAGCAAGCCCAAGATGATTTCTGAAGACTAGATAGAGTCTTAGAATACTGGATATGGAGGTACAAGTTGATGAAATGGTATTATGCATAAGCCTCCAAAGCACAAGTGTGATAAAATTTTGTAACATGACATTTTTCACTGTCATAATCAATTATATGCATCAGAAATGGAAAAACGATTTTCTCTCTGTCATAATTGATTATACTAGTAACATAATCGATTATGGCAGTTCAAATTTGAAAAATATATCTGTTTTGAAAAATAAATGTTTTTGAATACATCCTGATTTTTTTCTGCGAAAGTATTAATGACCAACGACTATTTCTGATGTTATTTTCCTATTTAAATGAGTTTTGATGAAAAATAAAATATAAAAAATTACAGAATTCGAAAATCCAATTTACTTTCAATCAATTTTGAGAAAAGAATTCTGAGCAAGACAACAGAGATATTTTACACCTTCTTAGAGAACCCTTTTCTCTACTACCTTATGTACTTTCATTGTTAATCACACTTGTCCTTGGAGGTTGGCATTCTATAGGCTTCTACAATTTGTTGTCTCTATTACCAGGTGTGACTGTTCTAATTTTATTATCTTTATCCTTTTGTGGGTTTAGGAGGTTTAAGTTAATCAATTGTATTATTTTAGGGTTTCCTGTGTGGGAACTATTCATCCCTTTGATTTGTTCATGGAGGTGTTCATCCCTAGTGTGATTCTAGGGAGGTGTTTATCCTTAGTGGGATTCTAAGGAGGTGTTTTCATCCTTTGATTTGTTCAGAGAAGGTGTTCATCCCTAGTGAGATTCTAGGGAGGTGTTTATCCTTAGTGGGATTCAAAGGAGGTGTTTGTCTTTTGAATTAGTTTATTTTTTTACTGGTTCCTCTGCTGAGTTGATTATAATTTGTAAACTGAATTTGAAAGATAGTGAATTTGGGTCACTCTTGTTATTAGAGTTGACTGGGAACTGGATGTAGGGTTGGTTATACCCGAACCAGTATAAATTAATGTGTGCTCTTCTCTTATCTTTATCTCTTTAATAGCATCGCATCCTACATCTCCACGCTTGAATCTTTCCATTTATCTATCTGATTATATCGCTTCCGCTTTATCAATATTTTATTTGATAATTAAAATTAATAAATTATTGGACATCTTAAAATAAATTTTTAATTTGACATTTATTTTAATTTGTGCATCTATTCATCCCCTCTAGATAGCATTTGTCTAATAGATCTTTATGAGGAGGTCTATATGAAACTCCCTTATTGTTTTCAAACCAAAAAAAGATAATTAAGTTTGTGAATTACAACAATCCCTATATTGAAGCCATTAGGTAATGGTAATGGTAATGGTAATGCTAAGTTTTCTCAATTTCTTGTTGCTCATGGATATAATCACTCCTTAACAAACTAGTTTGTTTCTAAAGTATTATGGAAATTCTACCATTACCCTTTTAATTTACGTTAATGATAATATTTTCACTAGAAATGACTCTAAGGAAATCACACATATAAAAAATCTTGTTGATCAAAGTTTTCATATTAAAAATCTTGGTGACCTTACTTTCGTAGTCTTTAAGTGGCATGCAACAATATTGGAATAGGCCTTTGTTCACGAAAATACACATTGGATCTTCTCAAAGAAATTAGAATACTTGTCCTAAACCTAAACCGAAATCCTACACCTATGATTCATTCATCTCATCTCTTTGTTAATAGCATAACTAAACTCAATGATGTAGACTCTTCCTTGGATAGAAGATTCATCAAGCATCTCATTTACCTCACTAACACTCGTCCTGACATCCCTATGTTCTTCAACACCTAGGTAGTTCATTTCCTCGCCAACTACTAACCATCAACAAGATGCTTTTCGCATTCTAAGATATTTGAAGAATGCTCTTGGCCATGGAATCTCTCTTTTGAAGTAATATCACCATTCAACTTAAATCCTTTAGTAACTCTAAGGCTAGTTATCCACAAACTCGATGATTTATCACAACATACTCTATATATCTTGGCAATTTTATAATATCATGGAAATCAAAGAACCAACCCACCATATCCAAGAGCTCCTTCAAAGATGAGTATCATGCATTGACTACAATCACATGTGAAATACAATGGATCTTCTTGAGAATTTTTATTTTGATAATCAATCAATCATACAAATTGCCTCAAATCAAGTTTTTTTATGAAAGAACAAAACATATTAAGATAAATTGTCACATCAAGAAAAAGTCAACTATGGTCCGCTTAAATTTCTTCTATTTCTATTTCTTCAAGAAGTTGACTTATTCACCAAACCTCTTTTTCGAATTATGTTGCAAACTTATAATGATAAATATATATTCCTAACTTGAAGGAAAGAATAAAATTCAAACTACATATGATTGTTTTCTTCCACACCAAGCCTTTTCCTTTGTTCCATTTAGTGCTAGATCATTAATTTTTTTGTTTTTATTTTTTTTATTCCTTATGTTTCTTTTCATATTATATATATATATATATATATATATATATATATATATATATATATATAATTTTTTGTGTGTGAATAAAACAGACATTTTTCTCTCCTCTCTCTTTCTTCCTACATTCTTACTTATTAAAAAAAAAAAGTTTGACGTGATAATTTATTTTTGAGGGTGATAATTATCATTCATAACGTCTTGTTAAAACTAACTATACAAATTATTATAAAAGAGATGATTTTAAAATTAACTATTTAAATGAGATACCAATACAAAAAGTTGTTATTAAAATAAAATTCATGTTATTTTATT